TTTTTTTTTTTTGCAGTTTTTGGCTAGGGCTGGGTTTGAACCTGCCACCTCCGGCATATGGAGCCGGCACCCTACTCCTTTGAGCCACAGGCACCACCCAAATTTTGTTGTCTATTATAGGGCAAATATAGGGCTAGACAAAAGGGTAAAATGCAGGTAATGAGAAATTTCTCCCCTTTACATTTTCTGCCTTCACGTGGTGGTATAAGATTTTTTATTTTGAACTTTCAAAGACTCTGATGAAATCCAAGTGTGTTTGTACATGGATAGGACAACATGGCGCCCTGAGAGAGCAAATCCACCCAGGAGGTTTGCCTGGAGCAAATGGGATCAAAAGGCTCAGAGGGCCAGGGCTCTCTGTCCTGCTACTAACCCAGACCTATATATATCAGGCAGCAAATGGACATTTAAATGTTTCAGACCTTGTATACATTTTCCCATAAATGAAGCAAAAATAACTGTCAATGTAGAGGAGCAAAATAAGATTGATGCTGCTTTAAAGATAGTTTTGTACTTCAATTATTGCTTATGTAATCTAATGCTGATAAATAATAGAGGATTAAAGACATAACAGAATAACCAAAGGAATTCAGAAGTCCTCCTTTCCTAATTTTTTAAGAAAATAATACCATCAACACCCTATACTACTGAAATAAATAAATATTGTAGAGCACTGAATTTTTATTATATGGGTGGTCATAAAGTTCGTGTGCAATTTAAATTTAAATTATTTGTGCACCATAATGGTTTACATTGTGGATAACAGATTTTCAGAGCTGTCACTTAGAACATAGCCATTATGCTTTCCTTTTGCATTTTGATCCTGAAAAGTAAAAGAAGTAACTAATTTTTGTGGGTTTCCAAAGAATTGCTATCAAATGAATTATTCTTGTCTTCTACAAATACACTTTGACCCACTCAGTGACATGGAGCAAGGCATCTGAAGGGTTATTCAGCGATGAAACTTGGCCCCTCATCTAGCCAAAGAGGCCTGGGAAGGCCAGGGCTCTCACCTTGTTTGGTGTTGACATCTGATGGGATGTGTGATGGGTGTGATCCTGGAGAAAAGTGCTCGTCGCTGTAAGTGATGAGGGGGGTGAGAGGATGGACTGCGTGGGATGGCTGCACCACGGGAACTTTATTTGACTGCAAAGGAACCAAGAGGGCAACAGTTAGTATCGATGCCCAGCTCTTATCTCCTCTCTCAAAGAAAAAAAATCACCTGACAGCAGTAACTAGTGGTCAGCATAACCCAAGAATCACCTCCCAACCTGGATACCAAAATCTTCTCATTTAGATCTTCAGAATTTTCCCATAGTAAATACTCCTCAAGTACATGAATATCTATTCTACCAAAAGAATTATGAGTTATTGCCCCAGTGCCCCCTTAGATATTTAGGTGGGTCACCCTTATTCTAACATGACATGGATGTGTCTGTACACACATATCCACAGTCTCTTATCTCCCCAGGGGAAGCCTGATACAGAATTACTGGAGCAAAATTTAGGAATGATTTATAAGCTATTGATTCATTATATATGTCTGGCACAAAAAAGGACACTCAAACTCAAATAATCGTTCAATGAATAAATAAATACTGCCAACATGACATGGAAATTTTTAAACATCCCAATATAAATTTGTTACATTGATATTGGCTCAGTATATAGAGTTTGTAATTCTATAGTTGTACATCTTCAGCAACGTAAAATCATTTCTTCACATTCCACATCTCTGTTAATTAAACATGATTCTCCATTATGCTTTAGCGCCTAGTTAGTCCATTTTCTGCTTCTGTAGTTTACAGAAGTATTAATTGATAAAAGGGAATTTCCAATCTTGAGTTTAGCTGTTTAATATGAAATATTGTTTTTAAGTGTTAATTATACTTGTTTACAAATTTTATTATTTAATCTGGAAGTCCAAAACTATATAACAATACTTTTTACAAGTTTAGGTTATCTACCTGGATTTCATCAATTTGAAATCTATCATCATTTTGATTGCACAGTTGAAGTTATTTTGTATTCTTCCAAGAAAGTGCTTATTAAGTAAATTAGTAATGTAAAAAAGGCTCAAACAGGTTTAATCTAAATTAGAGAGATCATTTATTATTGATATGTCAAGGTTGTACACATGTATTTGGGGCTATGTGTGATAATTTTGTGACATATGTACATTATGTAATGATCAAATCATGGTAATTGGGTATCTATCACCTCAAATGTTTATCTGTTCTATGTGTTGAGAACATTAAAATTCTTCTCTTCTAGCTATTTTGAAATATATAACAAATTATTGTTAACTATGAGTGCTATGCTATACTATGAAATACCAGATATTATTCTTTCTATCTAACTCTATTTTTATATCCATTAACCAACTACTCTAGGGGGAATCATTTTAAAGAGACTTCATAACCCCTCCCCCCAGAAAAGAAAGGAAACTCAACACAATTATAAATGTGTAAAGATGTTTCTTTCTAATTGTAAACCTCTACTAATTAAAGCAGTTTCAGAAACATCTCTGTTTAGGAACACTATAGTAATGAGTAGTATGAATTCAAGGGATATAGAATGAATTCACTAGTTCAGACATGCTTTCACCATAATTAGTTTGAATTAGTGAGATTTTACATGTTCTGTACTATCAGCTAAAATACATGTGAAATCAGTTTTCTCCAGAAGCGAATATCCATACATTTTTAAAATCTGAGGAATTGTCTGAAATTATACAGTGTGAACTGCTTAAGACACCAACCTGTGTTAACATAGTTGAGGGCTCCGGTAACACACCTGTGTACAGAGGCTGTGCCTACGACATACACTGATTTTGAATCTAGTATTTTTTACAAATTAGGAATAAAAGTATGTGACTCCAAGGGGAAGGACTACTGTCAGGAAAATGGGAAACTATGACCCTAGTAATACTTTCTCTTCATATCCTATCATTACGACCTCTATCCAAAGAAACTTACGGAGGAAAAGTAACAAAGGGGGAGAATAATACACTTCTGGACAATGATATAATCCCCATATTAAATTTTCTCTATTTTATATTAACAGTTCCTCTCTAATGGCAAAACTTGCATAGCTTATAGTCCCTGCTATTTATTAAATAGAGCACCATTATCAAAGACACACAGTTTTTCTCTATATACCTTGGCACAAACATCTATACACATAAATGTCTAAAAAAATCTTTTTAAGGTGGTGCCTGTAGCTCAGTGGGTAGGGCGCTGGCAACACACACCCAGGCTGGCGGATTCAAACTCAGCCCCGGGCCAGATAAACAACAACGACAACTCCAACAAAAAAATAGCAGGGCATTGTGGCAGGTGCCTATAGTCCCAGCTACCTGGGAGGCTAAGGCAAGAGAATTGCTTAAGCCCAAGAGTTTGAAGTTGCTGTGAGCTGTGACACCACCAGTCTACTGAGGGCAACAAAGTAAGACTGTCTAGGGCAACAACAAAAAAATCTCTTAATACTTTTTAAGTGTTAATGATGTAATTTGCCAAATACACAGAATAAGCTTCTGAAATATAAGGAATTTGGAATACTAGAAGTTGAGGTGGGCAGACATAGAGAAAGGAGGGTATTATTACAAAACCTTTTTAAAAATGGAGACAAAAATCTCAACACCTAAACATCAAAACGAATATACAGTATAACCTCCATAGCTGACCACCTCTCTACATTGACCATCTCAAGTTGACCTAATTTTCATAGACTGGACATGCACTACATATGTGTATCAGTACAGTAGGCCCTAGTTCCTTATGTTGACCACCTCTGTATGTTGACTGTTTGTTACAGTCTCCTTGCATGGTCAACTTACAGATGTTCTACTATATTTCAACTATACTTTAAATGAATATATTTCGACTGTTCTTTAGAATAACTGCTTTAAGTTTCATTTTTAAGTCTCACAAAAACTGTAATTGCCAATCTAGTATACAGAGATATTTTCTTAGGGTGGTTATAAAGAGTGAACATTGAGGAAATTTTCTGGAAATACATATATATGCACATGCACACATACATATATGTATTTTTTGCATACCCCTTTTTCCAGAGCATCACCCTAAGGAACTTGCATTAGCAGGCGGCATCTTCTTAATGTCTGACCTATCCCTCCAGTCATATAGCTCAAAATCTGGTGCCGTGAATTTTTGCTAAATTATGCTATCCTTGCTCTCCTCTTAATTTTACGGTTTTCAACACAGATTTGCTTTCCTGTGGAAAGGAGATAAGAAGCTGAGGATTTTAATTTAAGCTCTGGCCTTGTCTTATATTTTGCAAGATGGATAGTGAAAGCAGTTCTAGTAGGTATGTTAAAGCCAACAAGGATTATGTCCATTTTTCTGACCAAATAATAAAAGTAATATGAAGTCTCAATAATGTGTGTGAGCAGAATTCTAAAGGGTTATACTTTGCCTCCTGCCAACCTTCCCCACCACGTATATCAACAGAACACAGTGGATTCCAATCCACACTGCACACAGCTGACTACTGTCATCATGGCAACCTGTCCTCAGCCCTAAGAAGATCTGTGAGCTTCCTGATTTCAGGAGCTACTGTCCTTTGATACCATATGCACACACAAAGGAGGACCCTGGCACTGCTACTTTGGTCACATTTTACGACAGACAGTATAACCATTTTTAATTCTATTCTTCGAATCTCCTAACAACAATGTGGTATATTTTCAATGTGGGAGGTAGGGAGGGGAAGAATAATCAACTGACTTGACTATTTAAGTCTCTGTAGACAAATTTATCTAACTGCATCACATGCACATATATGCATGTGTATGTATGTGCATTTATTAAGTACCTAAAATGTTCCAAGCACTGTTCCAGCACCAACGACCAATACACAACTTACTTTCTAGGGGTCTAGAAGTGGGGGCAAGTAACAGGGGGTGGGTGTTGGAAACAAGGAATATGTTACAAAATTTTAAAATATAATAAGCAAAATCTGAAAGAACAGCATTAAGAACTATGAAGAAAATGAACTGAGTGTTAGGAGAGACTATGTGAGCCTGATTCCATACCTATGTAGCATGTTAAAACTGTAAAAAACCTAAAGTACATTTTGTTCAAGTTCTTTATTTTCTAAGACCAGGAGCTGCGAAACAGAGGTCAGCAGGGAAAGGGCAATCAAACCAGGATTTACTGTATAGCCCCACTCAATACCCAACTCTAGTAGCACATGGTCACTGCCATGCAATGGGAATGGAAGCCCTGGGCTGCCCAATCAGTGGAGTCAAGTAGCAGAGAAATGTAAGACTTTGGCTCTTAAGTCTGTGCTGGTTACTATACACACAGTACCTCACCTAGCAAAACCCAAGACTCCTGGTTCCTACTCAGGTGCTTTTCCCACTATGCATCTCAGTGTAGAAGGGAGGAAGGAGAAAGGGTAAGTCTTAGCTTCCAGTGGTGAATCACCAGGTATTCCCAATATGTGCCCTTTGTTTTATCATCCCAGGGTAAAACAACACATAATCACTCCAACTCGGTAAGACGCGACAGCCCCACGTCATCCCAAATGCTCCACTCTTGCTTGAAGAGGTTCAGTAACTTGTCTCAGCTCACGTGGCAGTAAGTGGCTGGGTGAGGCCTAGTACTCTGGTTTGATTCTAACTGTACGTTTTCTAATATCAGGTGATTGGTGGATGAGCCAAGGGAGAGGAATAAAAATGGAAAGAAAAAGGGGTAGAATATACCAGGGGTGAACTCTGAGTGTGCAGACATCTCCCCTGCACACATTCAGTCCTCAAACGTAGCTGTTTAGGGGGAAGCCAGAACTCTTTTCCTAAATTTGAAAAATTACCATCAGGCCATCCTAACCGCTAATACGTAATAATTACAGCAATTAACACTCACCAAGTGCTTATTGTGTGCTTAGCACTTTATCCTCACAACCACCTTTGAGGCAAGGTACCATTATTATCTCCTTTTACACATGAGGAGCTCCGTCACTTTCCCAAGGGCCTATATAGCTAATAAGTGGCAAAGCCAGGATTCAGATGCAGAAGTCTGGCTCTAGAGGCCAAATTCATTACCAGTACACCATGTGGCCTTCCTGAGAGCCAAGTACATAAAGTCTTGGACACTGAGTTGACCATCTGGGCCATACCTGAC